GAAACAATCGAGGGTCAAAGTTAAAAATACTACAGCGCAATCATGACAAAAAAACACGGACGACGCACGACGGACGACGCACGACGGGCGACGCACGACGCACGACGCACGACGCACGACGGACGATGGGCGACGCACGACGGCAGATATGGAATTCCATAGCTGCCAGTTGAATCTCGGAAAGAGGTTGGCCTCCGTTTTTTCACTGGAAACTCAAAATTATGGCCAGAAGATCACTTTTCGTTTCAATTTTATAGGGGTTAGCCACAAATATTTTTAAATCCTCTTCCCACGAAGATACCTCCAAAATAGTAGCGTAAGGGTATACAGGACTTGACCTCCACTGGGCCTAACAAATCAACCTGGATGAATCGGTGACGCTATGACCCGGAACTGGAAACTACCAGTCCCAAATTCGGGATTTATGGAAACATTTCTATGATCCCTCCTGATTACGGTATGTCTTGTTGTAAAAAACACCATTGGGTCACAAAATATTAATGAGCTCGTGCCCAGAAATACAACCATTCGGTGGAATGCGTCCTTCAGGCACCAGTCATGAGCCGTTTCCAATACTCGACTTCGGCTCCGTCCAGGCTTCAACTTTTTTTTTTTGACTACAGCAACTTTGAAGTTGTAAGCGCAATAGTAAGTCTTATTGTGCCACAAAACATTAAGTGAAATGCAAAAGAGCCAAACATAACAATACATCAATTTAATTCTATGGAAAAGTTATCTAGCTTCAAAACAGCACTGCAAAACCATCAACAGCCGGAATGAACAACCCCCAGTTCCGTTCTGAGTGATGCTTATTTTGAGCTTTTCAGAGAATTTAAACGCTTCAGGCCCGCAATCGGGCTTTGGTTTCATCATGAGCTTGAGACGGAGACGAAGTTGAGTATTGGAAAACAGGCATGTTAGTCATGTTTACATGTATCAACGCACGTAAACGTATCGACATACTGTACATGTACCCCTTGCTTTATTTATGGACAAACGATTCTCGTGCAAATTCGCAATGACTTGCAAATTCTACCGACGTTTTATCAGCACTTTATTTCATTTGTTTGAATAAACTGGAGAAGTTGTTTTAAAATGGGGAAGACCGTGGATGTATTTTCTTTCAAATCTGATCGTGTTTATTTTGTTGTAAAAATCACTTTTTCAGAATTTGTTTCAAATTTTGTGCAGCTGGGTTCATTATAATACAGGGGGTTAATGTTTTCTAATTATGTTTTTAGTTATCTGGTTATCTCTGTGAACTTCCGTTGTTTTAATTTTGTTGAAAATAAATAATGGTCGCCATCCGAGGAATACCGGAAAGAAGTGTCCGAACGATGACCGACGTCGCCTGCCTCGAAATCCTCAGTAAAGTAATCGAGTGCGCATGCGCTAACTCTCTCCTAAGTGGGCATTCGCATAATGCATGCAGGGCAGGGCCGGCATGGCATGCAGGGCACGAGCCAGGCCGTGGGGATGTGCGTATGGTACACTGTACAGTAAATGTACTGTACAGTAACTAGTACAGTAACTAGCTACGCCCAGCGCATATTTTGGGTGCATTCGTCTGCTCGTAAAGACACGGCACTGCAGCGAACCGAAAGCTCTCTATGTATATGGCACACATTAGCCAAGCTTACTAATTTCAGCCCCCGGTGTCTTAGTTCTGAGTGTCTTCAGTGAGAAAATTCGTCGTGAAAGTGTGGTGTCAGGAAATAGGCTGTCAACATGACGACTTCTCTTTTCTTACCTCCATGCGGTTATCATCAAGTTTTCGCTTGCGCTGTCGGGATTTTAATGCTACTCATTAGAACTGGGGACGCCACTGGTAAGGAGACTGATGCCTTCTTCAATTCTCTCTGTTAATATTCTGTATCAGCTGTAACGTAGGGAAATGTACAGTAGGTAGGCATATATGTGCATGCTTGATATGCAATAGGCCCTGTCTTTGCATGGGGCGAACCCCTGGGGTTTGAGAAGAGTGCCGAGCCCAGTCCTTTTTAGCTGCAACTAAGTCAAATGATCAGTATGCAGGTATGACGCGTGTGTATACTGTTATTCCTGCGGGTTTCATTGGGTGTTCTGCTCTCTGAATTAATGTGCGATGAATGCCATATTGCATGTACATTGTACATGTATAAGGGTACCCATGTTCAGTCTTGCCGAAACGAGGAGGTGTTTGAAGAGTCATTGCAAAACGTGTCAGCGATGCAACCATGCAGTGTGTTTGAACTTTGAAGGTCATGGTCAAGGGAGTGGTGAAATAGTCTTACTACATAGGGCTTGAAATGCCACTCTTTTGACATCTGTCTCACCATTACAAAATAAGGCTGATGTCAAGAGAGTGCCATTTACAGCCCTGGTGCTGTGTGCAGTGGCTATTCAGCGGTGAGGGGGCAACATGCCCCAGACAGATTTTGTTTGAATTTTTTTTAACCAAGAATACCTCATAGATGAGTACGGAGAAGGTAAAACCCTAAGACAACAACCATGGCAAATAAAAGCAAGGATATCAGGACTTTGAGTAAGACTTTTGATTTTTTTCTCCCATAACATTATGTTGAATAAGCTCAAAGTTGCATTCACTTTTGAATTTGCCCCCCCCCCCACTCGCCAAAAGCTAGATACGCTGCTGCCTGTGTGTAAGATTTGTGGTGAACCAGCTTTACATGTGCGGCTAGTGCTGTAATTACAGAACTGCAAAACATACTCTGTAGTGATAACTTGCAGGTCAGTAAGTACAAAGGCCGGTGTATGGATAATGAAAGGATCATTCTTCATTTTACAGCCTTTGAAATCACTTCTTTTTGTTTCAATCAATTTTAGCATCAAATTTTGTTTTGCGAGTTTAATCTGTGTTTTGGAACCCTTTGGGTTTTTGTGACAATGAAATTTGCATATTTAGAAGCAAAACTATGATGCCGTCCTGGGCACTAAACCACAATGGTGCGTTAATCTGCAAAAAAACAAAATAAAACAAAAAAAACCCAACAAAATGCTGGCATTTTTTAATATTTTGCAGTACTTTCCATATTTTCAGGCATTACATTAAGTACCTGTAAGTGCATGTACGATGGATATGGCAGTCAGCTAGTAGTGAGCAACATTTCATCAGACATGTTTTCAAACAGGAAACTTGGGGTCCTGAATTTGAACATGAATACAGGCTGAACAATATCTCTGGGGCTGAGTCAATGCGAATAATTCACTATTCAAATATTCGAATTTGATCGAATATCCAAATATTCGGTCGTACTGAGTAGCAGATTGTTGATAAACAAGCCATATACAAAATCAGTTGCAATAAAGCACATAATTGTACATTATGATCAACAGTGTATCGCTCATCGCTGGAGTGCTGGAGCACTTTTGTCCGTGCTGATAATCTGTGGGCTCTGAACGCCAGTGGTACACTCTTCCAAAACAATGGATTACCTCCGCTAATACCAGCTGAAAAATGATGGTAATTCCCAGCAGCTCGGTCTTTTGTTCTGAGTGCGGTCTTTTGTTACAAGGCCCTGCTCCTTTGTCTGATTTCAGGCAGCGTGGCTATGCGCACATACCCAAGGAGTCCGGCACCAGAAACCCCGGCGCTCTCAGTTGTCCGGAAAGCATGGTTAATTTTGATTGTTTAAAAGTGTGTAAACTAAACTTGCTCAAATGATTGAACTCAATTTGATATCAAATTCACTGCCTATATGGGGCATTAGGAAGGACTGACTACGTTGGATGACTAACGTCTGTAATCATCACTTGCACAATGATACACACAAGGAAGTGTTGGCCCATGTTGTTCAAAACAAACTGATACATCCTGGAATAGCTACATAACAAATGATTGCATGATTTGTGCACAAGAAAGCTTGGAATTTTTTTCTATTTTGCTGTTGTAAATTTCCATGTCCTTGCAGCGTATTGTTTTGTAAGTGTAATTAAGCCAGCAAACTTTTTTTTTTTAGAAATGTTTTCAAAGAGCAAATTACGGGTTGGAAACTTGCACATGAAACCACGTAAACCAAAAGTCTTCCTTGATTTACATTACAGCAACAGCAAGTTTTAAAAAGTGCACTTTATAGTACACGAAACCCCAAAAGGAGGATGCACGAAAAGTGAGTCTAAGAAACATTCATCGCATGGATTCATTAAGAAATAAACTATGTACCAATGAATACAATTTCTTAACCCTGTGAGTGTGTTTCTGGTTCGCATAAGTGCACTGTATACAGGATCACCAATTTACACTTGTTTGGCCAATCTGTAGGTTTGGGGAGGCATTCACCTCGAACTCTCCTATGCTG